GAGGATGCTCCCCTTCTTCCCAGAAGCCAGCCCCGCCCTCCCCCCTCATAAACCACTTACCCGCCCATCCCACACCTTCCACTTGTGTGGTGGCGTCAGGCGCGTCTGTCCCGTCCCATCAGTCCTGACCTGTTCCACCGTGGCCGCGGGACTCAACGCTGTCCTCGCCAGCACCGCCGCCAGGTGAGGGGTACCAATGGGCCCTGAGATGCTGAGCCACATGACACCGTCTGGAGTCCGCGCCAGCCCAGATCGGTCCCCAGCAAGGTCGAGTGCGGGCCAGCCCAAGCCTGCGTACCCAGCAAGGCTGCCCCGAAGCCGCCCTGGGGGAGCGTGGGCTCCAGCACCTACAGTGCCCCGCCTCTCCCAGATACTTTGAGAGGGGTTTCACCCGACGTGGGGAATGCCTAGGACCACAAGTCCGGCATGTCACCCGCCTTTCTTTTGCAAGGAGCCTTGGGTGGGAGATCTCTGCTAAGAAATCGGTTCTAGAGGCGGTTGGTTGGTAGATCTCTAGACTGAGGAGCTGGCAGGTGGAGGGAGCAGGCCAAGGGATGGTCTATGCTGCTGGGTCTTGTGGCTGTGACAAGTGTCCACACATTTCCTGGGATGAGTCCTTGAGCAGTTTTCTTGATTGGGCATCTGGTTTGGCAGGTGTCTGTGTGGGGATGAAAAGGGAAACCTCATCTCTATAACACGGGAAGTTTCTCTAGGTGAATCTGAGAGGAGTCTTCAAGGGGGGTTGCTGGATGAGTCTGGGGAAATCTCTGGATCATCAGATCATCTCAATCATCTGGCTGGGACTAGAATCAGCTCTTTGGATGGCAGGTTTCCGGCTGGGCTGGCTGCAGTGTCCTAGGTAAAGGAGGTCTGAGAGGATGACCAGAGCCTCCTTGCCTCTTCCACACAGACATGAACGTGACGATGGATGGTCCTCGTTCAGACGTGGGCCGCTGGGGCGGGAACCCCTGGCAGCCCCCCACCACGCCTTCTCCAGAGCCGGAGTCCGACAGACGGTCTCGCGGAGGGGGCCGTTCCTTCTGGGCTCGCTGCTGTGGCTGCTGCTCCTGCAGGAGGGGGACAGATGATGACTCGGGGCCTGAGCCCCACGGAGACCGAGGCTCTGGCTCCAGGGGTCGAGGGTCAAGCTCTGCACGCCGAAGACCTAACTCCCGGGGCTCAGACTCCCGCCCGCCTGTCTCCCGGGGCAGTGGTGTGAATGCAGCTGGAGACGGCACAATCCGAGGTGAGGCTGGCCTGTCGACCTTAGCTGAGAGCCAAAAGGGCTTAATAGGGACACACTCATCCTGGCATCTCTGGGAGCCTGAGAGGCTAATGATGAGGGGGTAAGGGGGAGTTCGACTTCCCTTGGGGCTTCAACTGACCTGGAATTGTGGCTTTGCAGAGGGCATGCTGGCGGTGACTGGTGTGGATCTGCTGAGTTCACGCTCGGGCGAGAACCGCCGAGAGCATCACACAGATGAGTATGAGTACGACGAATTGATCTTGCGCCGTGGGCAGGCTTTCCACATGGTGCTCTTCCTGTCTCGGCCCTATGAGTCCTCTGATAGTATCACCCTGGAACTGCACATAGGTCAGTGGGGCTTATAGTGGGAAGGGTGAAAACTTGGGCAGGGGTGCTGGCTACCAGGGCCTCCCAGCCCTGGTGTTAGGGTTAGAGGGGCATCTTTGGGCTCCTCCCTCGCCCAGCTCCTCTCCTCTGCCACATAAGGCTGGTGTGCATGTGTGTGTCCCTAGGGGTGTGTCTCAAGGAGGGTCTTGATGTCTCCATTTTTCTAAGCCCACCCTCTTCAAGCCTCCAGGGGCATCTGTCTCAATATTCTTTCTCCTCAGGTGCTTGCTTCAGCGTTACTGCCTCTGTGTATCTTTCTTTCTGGATCTGCTCTCCTGCAGGGTGTGGCGAGTTCTCCCTACTCTCTCTGTGCAGCTCTGTCTCTGTTTCCTCTGTCCCCATGGCCCAGAGCAGATGCCTCCCTTACTGCGTTGCTTGGTGGCCATTGACTACCCAGGCTGGTGATTATGCTGCTGCCGGGGGCGGGAGACTCCTCATACCCTCTGATTAGGGCCTGGCCTTGCCCACTCCAGCCTCTAATTTCCCAGGTACCCCACCACCTCCACCAGGGATGCTCTGGGTTCTGGAAGCAGCAGTGCCAGGGAGCAGACAGGGTTGCCTTTCAGGATCTGACTGCCCTTTCACATGAGGTTGGGGCATCTGGACCCAGCCAGGGCGGCTCTGCTTTTCCAGCTCAGGAGCTAGGACAGTCAGACAGGCAGAGGGTGACAGTGGCCTGATCTCCCCTGCCCACCTCTAAGTTCAGTGTCAGGGGAACAGGTTTGAGATGTTGGACTGGGTCTCTGCCCTGGCATGTGGACAGGCATCGGGCGGGGACAGAACTATTTTTAGACTGTCACAGACTAAGGAGATGGCCCAACTCAGGGACACACACACACTAGCTCATACATATTCCGGGTGGGGCTGGGAGAAATCCAAGGCTCCATTTTCCCCCACCTTGGGAATGCTTCACCAGCTAATTGCTGCTTCCGCCATTCCAGGAAACAACCCCGAGGTGGGCAAGGGCACCCACGTGATCATCCCAGTGGGCAAGGGGGGCAGTGGAGGCTGGAAGGCCCAGGTGACCAAGTCCAGTGGGCAGAACCTGAACTTGCGAGTCCACACCTCCCCCAATGCCATCATCGGCAAGTTTCAGTTCACGGTCCGTACACACTCAGAGGCTGGCGAGTTCCTGTTGCCCTTTGACGCCCACAATGAGATCTACATCCTCTTCAATCCCTGGTGCCCAGGTGAGTCTGCTGGAGTCAGGAGCAGGGAATAGACAGGAGAGGAGGCAGGTCGGGGCTTCCTTTCCTAGGATCCAGTGTGGTGCTTGGGTGTCTGCCCTTAGGAGAAGCTAGCCTCTCATTGTCCGGGTGAAGGGACCTAGGTCCCATGTAGAAAGATGACCAGCTCAAAGTCACACAGCCTCACCTCTCCCGGTGCAGGGCCCTGGTTAGCCACCCTCTTCCCATTATCTCTGTCATGCTCCCTCCATGCTTTCTGGGAACAGTGCTTTCAGCCTAGAGACATTCTTGTTCTTCCTCTGTGGACATGAGTTCTGCAGAATTAGCCTAGGAGAAGGTAGGGCCCAGGGAGAGGGCTGGAGGGAACCAGGCATGTCTATTTTGGGGACACAGAGGACATCGTATATGTGGAGCATGAGGATTGGCGGCAGGAGTACGTGCTTAATGAGTCTGGGAGAATTTACTACGGGACTGAAGCACAGATTGGCGAGCGAACCTGGAACTACGGCCAGGTATGGCTGGCGAGGGCCACATGCACTTGGGAGAGCTAAAGACGGGTGGGGTGGAGTGGGAGAGAAGGTGCTGGCCTAGAGGTCGGGCTTGGCTACGGTGGGCTGCGGTCACCTCTGCCCTCTCTCTTTACAGTTTGACCATGGTGTGCTGGATGCCTGCCTATACATCCTGGACCGGCGGGGCATGCCATATGGAGGCCGTGGGGACCCAGTCAGTGTTTCCCGGGTCATCTCTGCCATGGTGAGCACCCTTGTGGCTCTGAGCCCTACTGTGTGTCTGCCTGTTGCCTCCCTTGGCCCCTACTCCTGCCCTTTCTGATTCCTCCAGGACCTCAGCCCTGACCCTGCCCTTGCAAAGGATATTGTGGGAGGGGTCTTACTCCTCCTTGTCCCTCCCTTGCCTGTCCCCCACCCCACCCTTTCTGGCACGTGTCCCAGCTCTCGTGGAATGTAGGGCCAAACCCAATACTTTACACACCCAGGATTCACATTCCTGTGCCAGACCAGGTGTGGGGGTGGGGGGCAGGTGGCTCTAGGGTGGGCGAGCCTTCGGCTACTGGCTAGATCCTGAGGCATTTTGGGGTGAGGGGTGGTTGCAGGGTCAGGGGCTGGGCTGGGACCACATGATGGATCCTGAGCCTCTCCTTCAACTACCCCCACCCCATCCTGTCCTGGACAGGTGAACTCCTTGGATGACAATGGGGTCCTGATTGGAAATTGGTCTGGCGATTACTCCCGAGGCACCAACCCATCAGCCTGGGTGGGCAGTGTGGAGATTTTACTCAGCTACCTACGCACTGGCTACTCTGTCCCCTATGGCCAGTGCTGGGTCTTCGCTGGTGTGACCACCACAGGTAATAGAGGAACTGGGACCCGTGTAGCCTGGGCCCTACAAAGCGGGAGGGAGGGAAGCTAAGCTCCACCTTCACTAGCCTGGCCTAGCAGTGGCTACAGTGCAGGAGCAGGTTGGGGTGGATGGTAGACTGACCTTAATTATCATTAATTAGTGTTAACAACCAGAGAGAGGCCTAGGGGAGGGGAGGGAGAAAGGCTGGGCAGGGACAAGGCCAGGCAGGCAGCCTAGCTTCCCCTAACCCTCCACACACCCTGGCCCTAGCGACTCCTGACCCAGCTTGGCAACTACCGTTGCCCTTAACCCCCTACCCCCAGCTACCCCTCACCTGATGCTTCACCTGCACCCACCCCTGCCCTGGCCCCGGGCCCTGAACCCAACCCTGGCTCCTCCACAGTGTTGCGCTGCTTGGGCCTGGCCACTCGTACTGTCACCAACTTCAATTCAGCGCATGACACAGACACATCCCTCACCATGGACATCTACTTTGATGAGAACATGAAACCTCTCGAGCACCTGAACCACGATTCTGTTTGGTAAGGCTAGGGCTGGGGCTGGGGCTGGACAGCCCATGCCTTCCAAGGAGCAGTGACCTGAGATCTGGATGCCAAAGGAGTGCTGGGGAGGTCCCAGATGGGCTGCTCAGACCCAGCACTCTTCCATGTCCCTCCAGGAACTTCCATGTGTGGAACGACTGCTGGATGAAGAGGCCGGATCTGCCCTCTGGCTTTGATGGGTGGCAGGTTGTAGACGCCACACCCCAGGAGACCAGCAGTGGTGAGGCGGGGACCTGCTTGGCTCCTGTACCCCGCTTGGCCTTCTTTCCATCTCTCCAACCTGGGTAACAAACTCCAGAGTGTTAGTGCTGGACTTAGTTGTAGAGCCAGGTCCTTTACAGGGGTCCCCAACCCCTGGGCTGCGGACTGGACCAGTGCGTGGCTTGTTAGGAACTGGGCCGCACAGCAGGAGGTGAGCGGCGGGTGAGCAAGCGAAGCTTCATCTGTATTTGCAGCCACTCCCCAGCACTAGCATCACAGCCTCAGCTCCACCTCAGATCATCAGGTATTAGATTCTCATAGGAGCACCAGTCCCTGGTGCCAGAAAGGATGGGGACCACTGCCCTCAAGCACAGATGAGTATTCCATCTTCTCTATGCTGCCATTTCACATTTGAGCCTGACCTTCACATCGCCTCTCTTGCAAAGAGCGGGGAGGTAGATAAGGCAAAGGGGGTCAAATATATGGTGACTGAAGATGACTTTGGGTGGTGAACACACAATGCAATATACTGATGATGAATTATAATATCGTACCCTGCACTCATTCGCATCGACTCAACAAATGCATGTTAGAACCCACCATGTGTCTGAGGGTAAAGTGTGAACAGGCTGATCAAGCCACCGTGCTCGGCGAGGGAGGAGAGACAGGTACATGACACAGATGCCCAATACAATGCGATCGATACGACATCAGAGCAGCCCCCAGATTTGTGTCCCTGGTGGGTCCCTAGGACATGAAGTAGAAGTGGAAGTGTGAGTGCAGAGGTTCTTTAGAGCAGGGGTCCCCAAATCCCAGGCTGTGGACCAGTACTGGTCTGTGGCCTGTTAGGAACCGGGCCACACAGCAGGAGGTGAGCGGCGGGTGAGCAAGCGAAGCTTCATCTGTATTTGCAGCCACTCCCCAGCACTAGCATCACAGCCTCAGCTCCACCTCAGATCATCAGGTATTAGATTCTCATAGGAGCACCAGTCCCTGGTGCCAGAAAGGATGGGGACCACTGCTTTTAAAGAACACCAAGGTTCTTTAAATGAGTTTATCAGTCATGTGGCCTTTACTTTATTTTCACCTTTCCGCATAATTATATGCCTAAGTTTTATTTATTTATAATGATTAATATACTCAGATGGTTCAAAAGTCAAAAGATTTGAGAGAATTCAGTGACAGATTTTCCTCTGCCAAAAAATCCACTATTCTCATTTGCTTTTTTTACTTACATGTCCTAGAGATGAAGGACCCTTTTATTTATGTATTTTTAAAGTTTAAAAAGGTGATTATTATAAGTAATACATACTTGAAAGGGAAAAAAGTATAGAATTGAATAACATAAAATGTAAATGTTTCCTTTTCTCTCTCAGGATGTTTTAGTTTTAAGTAAATGTCTAGGTTCCACCACAGACCTAAAACATCAGACGTTCCAGGTATAGATTCTAGGAATCTATATATTTGAAAGTTCCCCTGGTGATGCCAAAGATCTGTTGGGTTTAGAATCCACTCCAAGCCCTTGTGGGACACGTGGAAAACAGTGACTCAGAGAGGTGGAGTGACTTTCTCTATGCACAGAGCATTAGGTCAGCAACAGAGCAAATCCAGTCCCTGACACCCTCCCTTCTTGACACGCATTCTCAGTTTCACCAAGTTCTTCTCTTGTCTGTTCTATTGCTCACTATAAATAATATCTACAGTACAGAAAAAAAAATCAGATAGGTTCAAAGAAAAAATCAACCTCTATATCCAGCCCTAAGAGATAACTACTGATGATATAACCCATTAGTCTCTTTTCCATAATACACGTTTCTGCAAAAATTAGACCTGTCATACACTCTGTTCTCAAATAGGTCTCTCCCCTTTCCCACCTTAACGCTCCATCCCCAAGCAGTCAACCTGCCCCTCATGCTGCCTCCCCTCTGCTTCTCCCTTCTTCACCCTGGGTCAGATAGCCCTCGCCTAGCCTACATTCTTCCTCTGGTCTCTGGTCAGAACCCTCCCTCTCAATCATCTGTGTGAACAGTGCCCCTGAATTGTGCAACCCAGCAATGCCTGCAATGCTGGAACAGCCTGGCCCAGGACACTGGGAGAACTGAGTTCCCGTCCCCACTCTGGATGGGTGGCAGGCAGGAGCTCTAGGGCCAGCATGACCCAGGCTTGATTCCAGCTTGATTCTTTCTTAGATATGTCAGCTTGGGCAAATTCCTTGCATCTTTGGGCTTCGGTGTTCCTGTTTGTAAATGGGAATAATGTGTACCATATGGGGTGGTTGGGAGGATTAAATGAGAAATTACATTTTAGAGACACTAGCAGCATACCTGGACTATAGTAGCTACTCAGTAAATATTAGCTCCTTTCATTCTCTTGTATCCAGCTGTCTTGTGAGATCCTGACATCTACTTCCTTGCCGATCCTCAGTTTCCCCATCTGTAAAAGGAGACCATAGTGCTAAGTGTTTTCTAAGATTCTTTCCTATTGGATGGCCTTCACTTACTGTTAAGCCTCCTCCCTGTCAGCCCATCTCCTCTAAAAATCCCTCCTGAGCACGATGAGGTCACAGTCTATTTCTACCAGCATCCCTCCCACCTCCCTACAGAGAGGACACAGCAGGCTGCAGAGCTGGGGGTTGTTCTGGATCTTTCTAGAATGGTGGCTGTGGTGTCATTGGTCTCCCAGCCAGCAAGCAGGGCTACCACAGGTTCTGGATTTGTCTTAATATATGGGATCCTGACCTCTTCAGATCACAGACAGCCAACATCTATCTTCAGCTAATGGAGGAAGAGTGTGTTAATGATTTAGTTAACAAGGCAGGCTTGTCCCCTGCCCTACCCCTGCCCCGCACTGACTGAGGCCAGATGGAATTTCACTCTTCTGTTTACTCTCCCTGGATTGGACTGGATGGTGGCTGACTCCCAGGCAGTGGGCACTGGGCCTGGATGCGTGGGCCTCTCCCCTGGATCTGAGAGTCCCCGTGGCCTCCTTGGATCTCTCACCTTCATCCTGCCCCAACTCCCTTAGGCATCTTCTGCTGTGGCCCCTGCTCCGTGGAGTCCATCAAGAATGGCCTGGTCTACATGAAATATGACACGCCCTTCATTTTTGCCGAGGTGAGGGCGGTGCTCTGTGCGCCTTCTTGGGCAGTATGGAGGGCCAGAGCACTGGCACAGGTCCTGGGTTCTCTGGGCCTGACTGTACCGCTAACTGACCAGCTGTGTGACCTCGGGCAAGGCACCCATTCTAAGAATCTTAGTTTCCTCACCTGTAAAAGGTAATAATAATGGCTGCTGTGCTTTCTGTACTCAATATCAAAAGAAATACTGAGTATGAAACTGCCTTACAAGTCACAAAGTCAGTGAACGAGCGTACGGGATTACTGTTATTAATGCCAAAGTGCTTTGTGAGGAGCCTCCTAGACCAGCTTCTTCCGGGCTCTCTGACCTTGTCTGGCTCAGCTTGGAAAGTCTCCCAGTTTGGCTCTGCCAGGAAGCTCCCAGCCTTTGGACCTAGCCATTCCTGCAGCCCCCGAGGAGCAAGGGAAGGTAGCAGGGGTCAGGTCCAACCTCAGACCCTCTGGCTTGCTCATTCCTGGCTCACACACCCCTCCCCCAATAGGTGAACAGTGACAAGGTTTACTGGCAGCGGCAAGATGACGGTAGCTTCAAGATTGTATACGTGGAGGAGAAGGCCATTGGCACGCTCATTATCACAAAGGCCATTGGCTCCAACATGCGGGACAATGTCACCAACATCTATAAGCACCCAGAAGGTACCATCCCCCCAACCTGGCCAGCTCTGGCCCACATGAAGTGTTCCCACTGAGCACCCACCCACCCCAGCAGGAGTGGTAACCTCACGCTTGACCCTCAACCTCCAGGCTCAGAAGCAGAACGGAAGGCAGTGGAAACGGCAGCCGCCCACGGCAGCAAACCCAATGTGTATGCCACCCGGGACTCAGCTGAGGATGTGGCGATACAGGTGGAGGCCCAGGATGCAGTGATGGGGCAGGACCTGACTGTCTGTGTGGTGCTGACCAATCGTGGCAGCAGCCGCCGCACTGTGAAGCTGCACCTCTACCTCTCAGTCACCTTCTATACTGGCGTCACAGGGTCCGTCTTCAAGGAGAGCAAGAACGAAGTGGTGCTGGCCCCAGGGGCCTGTAAGTGCTCCTTCCTTAGCCCTGACCCCTAGATAGCTAGACACCTGGGGCTGTGGACATGGAGACTCCAAGAGGCCATGTCTGGGGAAGCAGGCCTTGGTGACACCATGCTTCTTCTCCCCAGCGGACCGTGTGACCATGCCCGTGGCCTACAAGGAATATCAGCCGCACCTCGTGGACCAGGGGTCCATGCTGCTTAATGTCTCGGGCCACGTCAAGGAGAACGGGCAAGTGCTGGCCAAGCAGCACACCTTCCGTCTGCGTACCCCAGACCTCTCCCTCACGGTGAGGGCAGCTGGCTGGGGCATGAGGGATGGCCAGGGGCTGAGGGAAATTGGAGCGGAAGGGGACAGGGCACTAAATCAGGAGCAGGCTGGCCTGACGAGCAGTTCCAGGAAGAGAAGGTCAGGGACTGGCTCTGGGCTTTCGGACCTCAGTTTCCTCCCCTGTAAAATGAGATCTCATCTCCCCAAGTCCGTGGTGGCTTCAGCTGGGGAGCGGCTTGGAATTTCCTCTCTGGCTTATGCAGAGCCTTCTGTAAGGCAGAAATATGGGACTGGGGAGGTTTCAATCCCTCTCTGGTGGAATGTATGGACCCCATGTATTTGGCCGGGCTCTCTGATGTGGGGGTGGGTCTCTTTTTCTCTCAGTTATTGGGAGCAGCCGTGGTTGGCCAGGAGTGCGAAGTACAGATTGTCTTCAAGAACCCCCTGCCTGTCACTCTCACCGGCGTCATCTTCAGGCTCGAGGGCTCCGGGTTACAGAGACCAAAGATTCTCAACGTTGGGTGAGTCTGGCATCTCCTCTTGTCCCTGCCGCCACCCTTGTCTACCTCCTGAGCTGCCCTAGGTCCCAGCTTTGCTTTCTCTCTCTGTCAGGATGGTCGGGATGGTACTATCTCTCAGGGCTCACCAAAGCAGCTTGGGGCCAGCCAGCAATACCTTCTGACTCAGTTCAGTCCAAGCAGTGTTTAAGGAGACCTGTGCGTGGTGCTATGCTCCATGTCCCCACTCTGCTTCACCATCTCAGGGAGCTAAAATGTCACATAGGAATCATTAGCAACTCTTCACTAGCACTGTTCAGCACTCAGGAGCTGATCAGGCACTTTCAGGAACATTTTCTCATTGAGAGACTACAAAATCCCTTTAAAGTACATTAGAGACCATCATATAATTAAAAGTAAAGCTTTGGGATTCTCTAGACTTAGGTTCAAATTCCAGCTCCATCACTCACTGGCTGTGTGCCCTCGGGCAAGTGACTTTGTCTCCTCTGAGCCTCATTTTTTTCATCTGTAAAGTGAGGATAACAATAGTACTTGGCTCTGAGGGTCACTGCGAGAATGAGATGAGATGATGTGGGTAAAGCGTTTAGTGTAGTGCTTGGCGCAAAGTTAATGCTCTGTTGGGAGTTGTTATTTTGATTACTGCCACCATCACCCCCTCTTTACAGATGGGGAAGCTGATGGCCAGGTCTCACAGAGTCTCACAGTTCCCAAGGGCCAAATTCTGCTCTTCCCTTACGGCATGCACTAGGTACACACTGTCAAATCTGTTACTTGGTTTGTGCCACGAGGGCTGAGCAGCAGTTCCAGAGAAGAGGGGCCCACACCCCAGGCCCTTATCAGTCTGCCTGGGCCTGATGCTGGACCAGGTGAGGCTCGATGCCAGTGAGGGCACACACAGTGCTTATGTTCTTGGGCCTGTGCTGTCATCTCTGACACAGACACACACAAGCTGCCCAGTCCCTTCCCAGGAACAGCACAGAAGGAAAGAAGAGAAGGTCAAAAGCTGATCTTTAAGATCAGCTTTCTGGGGACAGATGCATACCTTTTCCTCCTTAGATAAAGAGCATCTGAGGGGCTAGGTGGAGCAGCAGAGAGTCCCTGCCCACAGACAGCAGGCTCTGCCTGGTGGTGGCCTCCACTTTGCTAACAAACCAAAGCTGAAAAGGTTGTTTTCCTAATCTTTGCTCTAGTCTGAACCCTGGATGATGTCCTATGTCACAAAGGAGTGCTTTCTCCCTGTTGCCCTACAAGAGTCTCTGGCGGCTCAGAGAATGGAGCTGGGACTCCCAGATAGGTCATCCTGTAGGCATCTCTCACCTGCAAATGATAGAGGGAGGTTCCCCTTTTCTAAGGGGTCCCCAGAGCTGGACTCCCCTCAGCAGCCCTGCCAGACCTTTGAGACTTGCCCCCGTCTGGGTATAGGAGAAGACAACTGAGCCGAGCTTGGAGACCTGGCCCCCTTGTTCAGCTGCGGGGCATGTATGAATTCCCCCACACTTAAAGACCCCAGTCTCCTCACTAGTAAATGAGAGGGTAGGGTGATGGTTTCTCAAGGTAATTCCTCCCTGGACATCCTGTGGCTCCTCAGCTGCTTGGAGCCCAGGCCAGGGCCACCAGCACCACTGAGAGCCCTCAGGGGGAAGTCCCTAGGTGGTTGGTTCAGATATATCGGATTCCAAGATGGGTGTTACTTTGCTCTAGTTTGCACATCAAAGGCTGTGGTATGGAACCCCATTATAGCATAAGGTGTGCCACCCAGCAAGGTGACTAGTCACTTAATAAACATTCCAGAACTTACTCCTCCAGATGGCTATTGTCACCAACTAACCAGTCACCAAGGGAGGCTGAAAGTCTGTTCCAAACCCTTCTTAGGAATTTCCCTCAGAGCCTGAATCACATTCTCTAGAATGTCCCTAGAGTGGTCTTCCTGGGGGAGTGCATTCAACTTTATGAAAATAGCCTGATGTCATTTAGAGCTAAGAGTAACAAAGTGGGCAAACAAGGTGGGTAATAACGCCCTTTCAGTCAGAAATGAAGCTTGGCTGTGAAGAAGGGACAGCGTAGGATGTGGGTGTGTGACTGGGTGCTGGTGATGTGTGCGTGGTTTTCAATGACGGAAGAAAAATCAGAGAGGAGTTTTAACACTTTTCCCATTTGGGAAAAAAAAAAAAAACGCAGCTCACTACCAGCAATAATTTAACACCACGCATAAGAATGCTACGTTTTCTAGGATTCGATCTTTCAGCGATCAAGAATTACTTTATTTTGTAAATGGAAATACTAAAAACAGAATGCTATAAGTAGAACGATGTGATTTATTTCCAAAAATTATCGATATACTAGAGTGATGTGAAAATAATGGTAAAAGCCAGATATTTCGTAGCAAACTTTAGGGGTAAGGTTAGGACTGTAATCCACGAGTTATCTTGAGATAAACGCTGCTGCCACAAGCACCACCGGTGAGTATTCTCCGGGCAAACGAGAAATGGGTTAAAAAAATGTTTCAAGCACTGGCAACATGGCTGAACAAGTACAGAATTGAAGGACAGTGCTAACTTGGTGTAAGCTCTGGTGTCCTTGTTAGGGAGTCGATTGCTTGTGTTCATTGTTACAGAACAGCTTTAGCAGCTGATGTGCTCAGCTTAAACTCACAAACAGGGGTGTGGCAAAGGTCTCACCTGACACTAAGGCCAGGGGAGAGAAAGCTCTTGACATCCCTAATTGGAACATGGAAAGAAGTTTCTCTTGAAAATAACATTATAAATAAAGGCTAGGTTCTGAAATGATACAGTTCAATTATAGTATGGGTCAAATAGATATTTGAAGGTTGATCTGAGCCTAAAAAACTTCAATGTTGTATCTGTGGAAAAGTGGGCACAAATTAAAAACACCAATTTATAACCAGCCAGAGCTATATAGCCTACCTGCTATATTATAGACTTAGTTTCTGGTCATCTGTTATGATAGGAAGTCTAGCAATTAAGTCTGTAACATAACAGGTAGGCTATACATCCCCCTGTCTTTCCTGCTTCCCTTCTTCATGGAGCTTGGAAGCACCTTCAAGCTCTTCTTATCTTTACCAGCTCATTTCACATTCACTTACATTTTACAGACCAGAAAGTAAGGATCAATGAAGTTCAGTAACTTGTCCTAAACTACTCAGCTAACAGTGGTCAAAGGAGTACAGAGTGGTCCAGGGGCTCCCCTCCCCCTTGCAAGTGGTCTCTAAGCTAAATGTTTTGCCCCAAGGACAGCTTGTCTTCGAAGTTGGGGTGTCAGTTCATTCCTTTGGAGAACGGAGGCGTTTGCTCAGGGTATGATTTCAGAGAGGGTTCCCAAGGCAGGCTTGGGTTGAGTAGGGGGCCAGAGTTAAGGGTTTAGGCACAGGCAGAAAAGGACAGATGCTGACAGGCATGAGCAGGTGCGATAATCATGGTCAGTGCATAAGGTGCATGTGCAGATTGCTGGAGGAGCTCGGAGGAGGGTGAGATTCATTTCCATGAACACAGGAGGTGCTCAAGGGAGCCCTAAGGAGATGAAGTAAGCCTGCAGAGGCAGCCAGGGCAAAGCATGGAAATGAAGGTGGTTTCAGGGAAGGGAA